CTGCTGTTTTTTTCTTTCTGGATCTGCCTCTGGTGATGTCAGATGTTGACCCTGTCTGACCTTAGGCAGACTGTTCAAGACTTCCAGGAATCTACTCTCTGTGGCTGTCTCCTTCAGTCGTTAATCTAGTCACTCTGCACTCAGCAGACAGGCTTAGGCACCGCAGACAGGGTGGGGCAGAATCCCTTCTGGGGGCAGAGCTATTGTTTCCTCTCATGCTGCTGCCACTCAGGAGAGGGGTCTGCCTGAGGAAGATGGCTGCTACCATATGGGGGATGACTCAGCACTGGGATCCCGCTGACTTCTCTCTCTGTTCTCTCCCTGAAGCCTCCTTCCCCAGTCTCTCTAGCCCATTCTGCCCCTGACTTTGCCAGAGCCCAGATTAAGTGGCTGCAAATAAAAATTTATGTTTTGGCCCTTTAAGTGGCTCTTTGCATCTCCAGCTGTCCGTCTCTGGCAGAGAGCAATCCTGCCGCTATTTGAAGCTGGCTGTTTTCTGTGTACTTTTTGGGCTCTGCTGCTGTTGGCTGGGAATCCCTGCTTATGGTTTAGACCCCACTCTTCTCATGGGGATCCAATTGGCCATTTCAATATCCCTCTGGCAGTGCTGCCCATGGGCACCCAGCCAGCCTTCTTGAATCTCTGCTGCATTCCTTACCAGTATGGTTATGCTAAAGCAGATTCTTCTGTCTGTCCAAGATTATAAGGCTCAACTCTCTGTATTGTTCAATTTGTTCTAGGTGATTTCTCCACAATTTAGTTGTAATTCCAGATTGGTCCTGTGAGGAGGTCAGTGTGACTTCCATTCACTCCTCTGCCATCTTGCCTCTCTTCTTGTATATATTTTAAAAAGTGAACTGAAAGTCATTGCTCTAAACTTGTTTTATAGATGACAATGTTGAGGGCCACAGTCACAGCATGGTTGCTCAGGGTCACACAGCTGGGCACATGGCAGGCAGAGCCTCACTCCTTAGAACCCAAGCCTGGGGCTTTCCTGGGTGACTGAGGGCCAGGCCCTCTAGCATGGGGCACATTCTGAAGTGACCTTGCGAAGGTGAGGCTGTGTCACCCACCCCCAATAAACAGCCCCTGAAAGCAAAAACCTCGAGGCCTAGCATGCTTAGCACAAACTGCGTGACCAGAAAGTGTTCATTGAATGAATGTAGTACTAAGGGTATTTTGAGGTAGACCATGCAAACAATGGCTATAAAATTACAGCATAATAAATAACATGCACTTTAACAGAAAGTTTACATCTAAATGACTCTTATCTTCCAAAGAATTTGTCTTTTGAAGCTATATACATTTATTTCAGTATGCTGCTTTGTTCAAAATTCTTGTAAAATCTCTCTTTTGGTATTTCCTCCTGAGTTCTTCAATTCAGTCATATAAAACCAAGGTCTCATTACTTTATAGTCACATTTTTTTGACCTAACCCAACTCTCAGTCAAATGCTCCATCATATTTTATTTACTCAATGATGTTTATTAAATGTCTTTTGTATGCCAGCATCATTGACTTCAAGGTTTAGAATCAAGTCACTCAAAAAAAAAAAAGAATAGTGAATATTTATTGAAGGCCAGGCACTGTGCTCATAAGCACTTCATGTGAAATGATTGATTAATCCCCACAATATCTTTAAATGGCAGGTATGGAAACTGAGGTGTAGAATGGTTAAAGGGATTGTCCTATGACACAGAGCTGGGAAGACATGGGTTTGAATCTGGCTCTGACTCCAGGGTCTAGTGTCTTGAGCACTCTGATATGTACAAAGTCATAACATACTCTTCCACATGATTTTTAAGGGCTCTGGGGTATTCCATCATATACTTGGACCATAACTTACCAAAGTAGTCTTCTATTGCAGAACATCTAAATTATTTTCCTTAAAAGTATTTTAAGAATTTCTGTGATGAATTGGACATAAATCTTTACATGTGTCATTTGGTATTTTCTCCAGGAAAAATTCTAGATACAGCATTTCAAGGTTATATTTTTAAGGCTTTTAACTACCCTCTACAGTATATGGAATCTTTGCTTCACAGTACTTTTCATTATTTAAATTATTGTCAATCTGAGAGGTATAAGAAAATATCTTCTTATTTTGACTTGCATTTCTGTGTTTATTAGTGATGATAAACAGTTTTTTCTCATTTGTATTCTTTTCCAAACTACCTTTTGTTCATTTTTTTTTCCTAGTAGCATGTATGTCTTTTTCCTTCTGTTTTGCAAGAGTATTTTTAAAATTAAGGACATTAAGTCTTTGTTTATCTTTCATACTGCCAACATTTTATCCTTGTTTGTGGTTTGCCTTTTCATTTTTTTAAATCAAATTAAGTTTTAAAGTTTTATGTAGGCAAATCTATGTGTCTTTTATGATTTCTGCTGTTGGAATTATGCTTTGAAAGTGTTTATGATGAATTATTTTTAAAAATACCTTCAACAAAATAACTAGAATTGCAGGAAAGATAAAGAGCTGTTATATTCCAATAACATCTCAATAAATAAATCAGAGGTGAAAATATTATTCAGGCATACACTGTTGGGACAGTTGGTTTTCATTTGGAGTACAGTGGGAATGTCAGCTTAATTTTCCCAAATGAAAACCACTAGAACTCAGAAAAGGCCCCAGGTTTCCTGACTCTCAGACTTTTGAAAGAATTTATGGAAATGAAACAGAATGGAGATTTATACAACAATAAGTCAGATGACAAGAAATGTATTTCTTTTATTTTGGTCCTGTTCCCCCCTGGGGGAAATAGCAACCTTGTATGTTCACTTCTTGAAATGGCTGTCTTTTTTCCCAGCGTGGACACCAAGTACACCCTCATTCCAGAGCGGTTCAGAGCTCTTGGCTAGTACGAGACTTGACTGATGCTTTGAGGCAGGAGTGACTGGCTGGCTTTGACAACTCTAGTGACAGCAAGTCGGAGGCAAGAAACAGCATTACTGCTGCTCCTTTCTCATAGAACCTCCCAACATCAGACACAGTTACGAGTCTAGTATCTCTCACTTGTCTCCTTTCCCTGCTTTTTTTTCAGAATTTGTACAATTGAAGTTAAATCAATCAAGCCGGTTCTGTGCCTGCTGCAGAGTCCAATGTCAGGGCCGACCTGTGAGTCTGAAGCCCTAGTTTTGTGATATATTAATAATATATTCCTTCTTAAAATGTTTTTGTTTATATCCCTGAATCTGTCTTCCAATTTTTAAGTTTAAGCACCTTCCCTGACTAAGAACATTTTAAGCACAAAAGGCTTTTAAAACTCTTTCCAATAGCTCTTGTATTAGTTTATGGTGCCATGTAATAAATTGTCAAAAACTTAGACGCTTAAAACAACACCCATTTTTTATCTCATAGTTCTGTAGTCCGAAGTCTGGTGGGCTTGGCAAAGTACTCCTCTTCAGGTCTCAAAATGCTGAAATCCAGGTGCCAGCAGGGTTTTTTCCCTTACTGGGGGCTCTGGGGAAGAATCCATGAACAAGCTCATTCTGTTTTGTTGGTTAAATGCAGTTCCTTGTGGTTGTCGGGCTGTGGTCCTGTTTCCTTTCTGGCTGGCAGCCTTGAGCCCCACTCGGCTCCTTAAGGTTTACAATGCTTCTTGTCACATTGCTTTTACATCTTCAAGGCCAGCAGTGCCGCACTGAGTCCTTCTTATGCTTGGAATCTGTCTAACGTTTCCTGCTTCATCTCTTTTGCCTCCTACTGGAGGAAGTTCTACGTTTGTAAAGGCTAATGTCATTAGACTGGGCGCACCCAGATCATCCAGAACAATCTCCTTATTTTATATTCTGTAACCTTAATTACACCTGCCATGTTCCTTTTGCCATGTTACATAATATGCTCTCAGGTTTCAGGGATTAGGACATACATGTCATTGTGGGACCATTGTGCTTATCAAAGCTTTCATCTCTTTATTTTCTAAACAGGATATTTTAGGCTCATCTCTTCTCTTGAAGAGGAAGTGGAAGACAGTTCCATGCTTTTAGAAAACATAAGCTGCCAGTCACCATCATTCCCAAAACTCACATAGACATCATGCTCTCAGCTTATGACCATGAAGTTGTTTGATCCTGGCATCAAGCTCAGTAAAATTAACTTGGTGGATGTTAGGTTAAGGAAGCCAATTACTGTTAGTACACACTGTTAGGTGGCACTTGATAGAGCTCGCTTCTATGTGAACTTTCCCAGGGCAGCAATCTGACAAAATGGAAAGGAAACTGATGTACACTGGGCAGTTGGGATGGTATCCTTAATGATTACAGCAAAATCTTGAAAAGCAAAAACTATCCAAGACTTGAAAGTAACTTGTACATTTAAGGTAACTTTAGAGAATTTAATTATTTGTTAGCAAATGTAACTGGAGTATTTAATATCTTTTACACATTATAGTTTAAAAAAATCCTGGGGTCAAAAATAACCTCTCATATATTTTTATTGGTTGCAACATTTGCCCTATGTTAACAATGAGCCAATATTTGTGGAGCAATTCCTATCCTCAGGGCAGGCATTCAGAGAACAGCACTAGGTCCTCCTGCTTCCCTCTGCCCATATAGTGCACCAAGCAGTGTTTCTCTGAAGTGGTGCTGTCCAATGGCAATACAATGCCAGCCGCATGTGTCATTTTTAGCAGCTTCTTTGAGATATACTTTACACTCCATAAAGTTTATCTGTTTAAAGCATATCATTTGATGGTTCTTAGTATATTTGTAGAGTTGTACAACCATCACCATAATCTAATTTTAAAACTTTTTCATCATCCCCAAAAGGAAGTTTGCACCCATAAGCAATCGTTTGGCTTTTCCCTACCCCAGGCCTAAGTAACCACTGATTTATTTTCTGTCATTACAAATTTTCCTGTTTGGGACTTTTTATATAAATGGGATCATGTGATAAGTGGTGTTTTGTGACGGCTCTTTAACTTAGCATAATATTTTTGATGTTTATTTTTGTTGTAGCATGTATCAGTACTTGATTCCTTTTTTTTTTTTTTTGAGTGGTGCAAAATAGGGAACGCTTCACAAATAGTGTGTCATCCTTGTGCAGGGGCCATGCTAATCTCCTCTGTATGGTTCCAGTTTTAGTGTATGTGCTGCTGAATTGAGCACATGATTCATTTTTACTGATGAATAATATTTCATTGTACAGACATAGAATGCTTGTTTGTCCATTCATCAGTTGATGGAAATTTGAGTTGCTTCTGATTTTTGGTTATTATGAATAATGCTGTTATACAGATTTACACACAGGTTTCTTCGTGTAGACATATGTTTTCATTTCTCCTGGGTAGATATGGAAAAGTAAAATTGCTACATTAGACAATAACTCCACATTCAGCTTTCTGAGGAACTACCCATCTGTGTGTCAAAATGTCTATACCATTTTATATTATCAACACAGATATAAGTTAAAAATAGCTTTATTGAGATACAAATGACATATAATGACATAGACATATATAAAGTATATTATATGGTAAGTTTTGATGTATGTGCATACCTGTGAAGTCAAGATAATGAATGTAGCCATCACTCCAAAATATCCCTCATGCCCTTTGAAATCCAGTCTTCCCACCTCTCCCCACTCCATCATTCTATTATTCCGAAGGAACCACTGATCTGCTTTCTGTCAGTATGGTTTAATTTGCATTTTCTAGAATTTTACACAAGGAATCACACAGTATGTCCTCCGTTTCATCTGGCTTTTTTCACTGAGCATAATTATATAAAGATTCATCCATGTTGTTAAATATATCAACAATTCATTCTGTTTTATTGATGAGTAGTATTTTATTGTATGTATCTCTCTCAATTTGTTTATACACTCATCTGTTGAAATCTGGGTTAATTCCAGGTTAGAGCTATTGCCCATAAAGATGCTATGAACATTCACGTACAAGTCTTTTTATGAATGTGTACTTTCATTTCTCTTGGGTAAATGCCTGAATGGAATGTTTGGATTATGTGGTAGGTATATATCTCACATTAAAAAGAACTCCAAACTTCTTTCCAAAGTGGCTGTATCATTTTATATTCCCACCAGCAATATATGAGATTTCTAGTTTTTTCACATTCTCACCAATACTTGATATGATCAGTTTTTAAAATTCCGTTGATTCTAACAGGTATGAAGAGATAGTTCTTTGTGGTTTTAATTCACATTTTTTAATGACCAATGATGCTAAGCATCTTTTCATGTGCTTATTTGGAGAAGCATATGTTCACATTTTTGTCTATTTATAAAACTTTTTTTAAAATTGGATTTTGAGAGTTTGTTGTATATTCTTAATACAAGTTCTTTATCAGATATGTGTTTTTGGTAATATATTTTCCCATTCTGGGGCATATGTTTCTATTCTTTTACCAGTTTCTTTTTTCTTAATTAAATTTCTTTGTCATTTATTGATTGATTTTAGAGGGAGGTGGGGGGGAGAGAGAGAGAGAGAGAGAGATCAATATGTTGTTCTAGTTATTCATGCATTCATTGGTGATTGGTGGATTCTTGTATGTGCCCTGAACAGAATCAAACCTGCATCCTTGGTGTATTGGGATGACTCTCTAATCAACTGAGCTACCTGGTCAGGGCCCTTATCAGTGTCTTATTTTTTTTAATTCTCACCCAGAGATATATTTACTGATTTGAGAGAGAGAGAGAGAGAGAGAGAGAGAGAGAGAGAGAGACATAGATATGGGAGAGAAACATCGATTGTTTGCCTCCTGTATGCACTCCGCTGGGGTTTGAACCTGCAACTTAGGTGTGTGCCCTGACTGGGAATCACACCTGCAAGCTTTTGGTGCATGGGACGATGCTCCAACCAACTGAGCTGCCTGGCTAGGGCCTTGCCAGTGTCTTTTGAAGAGCAGAGCCCTTTAATTTGATGAAGTCCAAATTACTGATTTTTCTTTTTGGGGCTATGCTTTTGGTGTCATACCTAAGAACTTTTTGTCTAATTGACCACAGAATTTTTCTTCTGTTTCTTTTGTAAAGGTTTTACAGTTTTAAGCTTTGTATTTAGGTCTATGGTTCAGTTTGAGATAATATTTTTATATAAAATATACAAGATATAGATTGTGAGATATGGATTGAAGGTTTTTTGTTTGTTTTGGTATAGAACTATCCACTCGTTCCAGCACCCTTTGTTGGAAAAAACTTATCTTTCTTCACCAAATTGCTTTTGGACTTTTAGTGAAAGTCAGTTGCCACAGAAATAAAATTTCAGAAATAACCCCATACAATTATGATGAATTTTTTTGACAAGGATGCAAAGACAATTCACTCAATTACAGTCTTTCAACAAACAGTGCTGGAACAACTGAACATTCATATGCAAAAAAATGAACCCCAACCTCATGCCATACACAGAAATTAACTCAAAATAACTCATAGACCTAAATGTAAGAGCTAAAGCAATAAAACACTTAGAAGAAAATTAAAAAGTAAATATTAGTGACTTTGGGTTAGGCAATGGTACCTTAGAGAAAAAGCACAGGTGACAAAAGAAAAAAAATAGATAAATAGAGCTACATCAAAATTAAGGTATTTTGTGTTGCAAACTAGACTATCAAGAAAATGGAAAGACAATATATAGAATGGGAGAAAATATTTCAGATCATATATTTGATAAAGGAGTTCCATTCAGAATATATTTTTTAAAAAACCCACTTACAATTTAACAATAACAAGACAAATAACCCAAATAAAACTGAACTAAGGATTTGAAAGTATACTTACACAAAGAAGATATGTGGCAAGGATGTGGAGAAAATTGAACCCTCATGCACTGTTGGTGGGAATGCAGGTTGGTGCTGCCACTGTGGAAAACAGTATGGAGTTTTCTCAAAAAAGTAAAAATGGAACTGCCTATGACCCAGTGATTCCACTTCTGGGAATTTATCCAAAGAAGCCTAAAACACTGATTTGAAAGAATCTATGCACCCCTATGTTCATTGCAGTGTTATTTACAATAGCCAAGATTTGGAAGTAGCCCAACTGTCCATCAGTAGATGAGTGGATAAAAAAATAGTGGTACATTTACCCAATGGACTACTACTTAGCTGTAAAAAAGGAGGATATCTTAGGCTTTGCAATAGCATGGATGGACCTGAAGAACATTATCCTAAGTGAAATAAGTTAATCAGAGAAAGCCAAATACCATATGATCTCACTTAAATGTGAAATCTAATGAACAAAATGAACTAACAAGGAAAATGGGACAGACTCATTGATAGAGAACAGGATGATAACTGTCAAATAGAAGGAGTGGGAGGTTAGGGAGGGGGGTGTGGAAGGACTGAGCAAAAAAGAAAAAAAAAGGAAAAAAACTCATGGACAAGGTCAACAGTGTGGTGATTGCTGGGGAAGGGAGGTGGAGGAGGTAGAGGAGGGTTTGGGGGGATTAATGGTGATGGGCGGAGGCTTGATTTGGTATGGTGAACACATAGTACAGTGTACAGATGATGTGTTGTAGAATTGAGCACCTGAAGCCTCCATAATGTTGTTAACCAGTGTCATTCCAATAAATTCAATAAAAAGAAAAAAATAAATAAATGGCTGATAATATATGAAAAGATGCCAACATCATTATTTATTAGAGAAATGCAAATCAAAACCACAGTGGAATACCTACTAGGATCGCTATTATAATAAAACAACAACAAGAACAACCACCAGACCAAAAAACAACCATAGCCAGGAAAAAAAAAATGTTGATGAGGATGTGAAGAGATTGGAAAGTTTGTGCATTGCTGGTGGAAATGTAAAATGGATCAGCCAGATGCCCTGCAATCCCCCTTTTTTTCAATCCCCACCTGATGATATGTTTTAGTTATTTGAGAGAGAGAGGAAGGCGTGGCGGGGGGTGCAGAGAGAGAAGAATGAAATATTGATGTGAGAGAAACACCAATCAGTTACTCCCATATGCACCCCAACAGGGGTTTAAACCCACAACTTAGGTGTTTGCCCTGACTGGGGGATCAAACCTGCAACCTTTTGGTGTATGGGATGATGCTTCAACCTACTTAGCAACCAGGCCAGGTCATGCAATCCCACTTTGAAGTATACAGTCATCCCTCAGTATCCATAGTGACTGGTTCCAGGACACCCTGTGGATACCAATATCCGAGGATGCTTAAGTCTCTTATATAAAATGATATAATATTTGCATGCAATCTACACACAACCTCCTGTATACTTTAAATCATCTCTACATTACTTACAATACCTAATACAATGTAAGTGTTGTATAAGTAGTTGTTATACTGTATTGTTTAGGAATAATGGCAAGAAAAATCTGCCTGTACAAGTTCAGTACAGATGCAACAAAGGTGGGCCTAACTACAGAGTACATGTCAGCAACGACGTAACATTTTTTCCTAATAATTTTGATCTGCAGTTGGTTGAATCTGTGAATGTGGGACTTGCTGATATAGAGGGCCTACTCTACACCCAAAAGAACTGAAAACAGGGACTCAAGCAGCTACTTATATGACAATAATCACTGTAGCATTATTCCAAATAGCCAAAAGATGAAAGCAATTTGTGTCCATCAACAGAAGAATGGGTAAACAGAATGTGGTATATAGCTACAGTGGGATAGTATTTAGCCATGAAAAGAAATCACATTATAAAAGATGCTATACCATGGGTAGCCTTTGAGTGAAGTAACCTAGAGACACAATGACTAATACTGTATGATTCCACATATATGAAATATCTAGAATGGGCAAATTAATAGCAACAGAAAAGACATTAGAGGTTACCAGGGGCTAGGAGTGAGGGGGATGGGGTTTTATTATCTAATGCCTCTGTTTGGAATGATGAAAAAGTTTTGGAAATAGCGGTGATGGTTGTACAACACTGTGACTGCAATCAGTGCCACAAAGTTGTATACTTAAAATTACATGTTTTATATATGTTTTGTGTTGTATTTTATGTTACTAAAATTAAAAAAAACTTAAGATACCACTTCACATTCACTACAATGGATATAATTTTTAAAAAGACAAGCAATAACAAGTGTTGGCAAGGAAATGGAGAAAGTTGTACCTTAATACACTTCTAATGGGAGTGTAAAATTTTGTGGCTGTTTTGAAAAACAGTATTTCAGTTC